AGCCCTTTATACGAGTTGTTGGATCTCTTATACATGCAATAGTTTGCTCAATACTACATATTCTACAAGCAGTTAGAGCACTCAGCAGATATCCATGGAATATGAGAACATAATATTAAAATATTGTTAAATGGATATTGTGCTATTTAAAAAGTAAAATCATTCAATCTTTGAATTTTAAAAAAATTGATTTAAAATTTAAAAATTGCATTAATTTAGATTTAGGAGACCTAAAAATCAGTACCGCTAGGTAAACCTATATATATATATGATGGTACCGTTATTAGTTGGATGCTACAATTTCAGAAGATGGTAGCAATATCATTCAGAAAAGCTAAAGACATGGCAATCACTGAAGCCAACACGGGAATGATTTATCTAAAAGATTTTTTGAAAAAAATTAAATTGATTTCAAGAAAATTACACTCTCATTTGTGACAGTCAAAGTACCATTCACTTTGAAAAAAATGCTATTTTTACACTTGAATAAAGCAAATACAACTCTAGCACATCTACATGTCAAAGTTACTGGAAGCTAATGTCTTACAACTCATCGAAATTAAAAGAGCAAAGAACTTCATTGATATACTCACACAAGTTGTGCATACTTGAGAAATTAAGGCTTTGTAAAATTTTAGTTAACCTCCATGAATGTTGATATAGAGGTGTCGCATTGAGAACTATTCAGACAGCCACAAAGTTAGTACAAAAAAAATTTACTCCAAGTGGGCGATTATTAAGTAAAGAATCTAAATTGCATCAATCACTTTTGATAAAATGTGGTCTCAAGGCTATCAACTCAAGATTTAATCACAATTAATGATGACAAAATAATTCATACTTAATTTTTCAAGATAGCGGCGACATAAGCCATTTCACACTTGATTTTCTAAATTAAAGACTACCTAACTCAAGCTTCATTCAGACTCAATTATTCTCACCTACCACTTCATATGACCATTATAAAAAAACTTAGTAGAATATTTAATCTTTTAAGTAAGCGTGAATCTACTTAAATGTTACCTAACCACAGAAACATGTGTGAGATCTTTAGTGATTGTTTTCTAATCTTCATTTGAATTTGCTCAAAATTTTTCAATCATTACCCAACAAGCTTAGGTGAATACATACTAATTGCCATTGTTTTTATTCTAGAATCATTTCAGCATGTTTGTGATTCCCATGGTTAGGTTTCGATGGCCTGAATTGAAAAAACATAATGAAGTCAACTTACTCTAGCCTAAAATATAATATAATTTTACAACTGAACACAAATTGAATGCCATTATACGAAGAAGTCGTTCAAGGGCTATTGACTTCTTTGAAAAGGAAGTTATGGAGTGCTACAGTCTCATTTTAAGCATTTTTAAATGCAAATGGAACACAACTATTGCTACTTCACTACCAGGTTTAACAACTAAATGCTTTGATAGTTGTTGGCATTTTAAGCATTAAACATTGCCTGTCAGTCTGATTTGTGATTCAACCCCCGATAAAATTCAACACATGTATGAAAATAAACTTGAGCTACAATCACTGGAAAAACTAATATCAAAATAAAAAATCATGTAAAAATACGAGAAGATTGGTCGTTGCACTCAGGTTATTAAAAAGAGACCAAACTATTGTCAAACGTTATTATTAGTAAATAAAATGTCAAAAGAGTGACTATTGCAAGTCACGCCCTCCGGATATCTACTTTTCAATGCTTTATGTGTTCCACAAACAAGAAAATAATTGATTTATATTCATCATGTTGTTAACTTTCAGTTACGGGTTTACTGAATCCTGCCTTGCTAGTGATCTGATTCTATTGAAAAACGTCTATTTACATACTGTTTCCTTTCAACCTAGAGTAGGTTTACCAATTGTCCTTCTCATATTGGTTTGATGAGATGATGGATATTTTGAGCCTTACAGTGATGATAATATTCTAGACTATAATTGGATTTAACATTTGCATTTATTTCTTACATTATGTATCTATAACCATTTTAACTGATTGGTGCTTCCTCTGTGTGACATGGCTTGCACTATTATGATATAGGCTTGGTTTGACAAGGCATAAATGTTTAAACGGAATGTTAACTTAAGCGCCGTTTAAAAGTTTTGACCCCGAAGCGCCCGCACCAGTCAATCTCATCAGGGCTACCAAGCGATTGCGACTGACTGGAAAGGGTGGCGGCAGAGACTATTTTTGATATATATGTTCTCCAAATGACGTAACGCAGGGGGCATTAGCTTGGAAGCCACTCCGATCTCGCATTTTGAAATCTTCGTGAAAGTCCTTCCCGATCAATGCACTGTGGAGAGAAGTGTGCCAAACAAACAGGAGTAATAATTTTAACGTGTTGTGCAACGAAACACGGGTGTGCCTTGGTCTCAAACGATGCCATAGTTGACACACATTATAGAATTTGTGAGCATTCTTTCATTCCACCATGCACAAAATGTATAAAATTCTAAGAGAGTTATTAATAATAAACATAAAAAATCAGAGAATATAAATTATTAAAAAATAATTACAAAAGTCCCACAAATTAGTAAGTTGGCAACATAGATCTTACAAATATATGAGGTAGCAATTTCAAGGAAGAAGGTAGTAGTCAAAGATGAAACCCTATGTGCTATTTTTCACACTTCTCCTCAAGTGAATGAATAGGTGTCCTACATATAAAGTTCAACCTTTTTTTGAAATACTTCCTTTTATAATCCTTTAGTGAGCATGTCCATTTATTGTTCACTCGTGGTTATAAACGGAGCACATATTAAACAATTGTCTAGTTTCTTTATAAAATGACTAACAATTTTAACATGCTATATATGGTCGCATTGTGTTGAATTATATGCCATTTTTATCAGTATAGATTCTCATAGAACATTTACATTCAACCATTATATTTCAAGATAATCTTTAATCATAATAACACAAATTATCTATAGCATGGATACTCACATTTTGTGCTAAATTTTATTATCAATTTTAATTTTTTTTTTATTTCTACAAGTTACAAGATTGCCACCTAAGAATCTACAAGAACTTGAAATAATACTCATCAAACCAAGAGGAAAAAAGGATAACATGTTTTTTCAAGTCGTTGCTCCTAGAACACTCACTCTCAACACTCATGTATTTTCCTAGCACACTCACTTTCGATACATGTGTTTTTCTCAATTCATTGCTCCTAGCACACTCACCCCCAACACTCTTTTGTCTATTTCAAGTCACTGCTCCTGGCACACTTCGGATTGCCATAGGCATCTTTCTTGAGTCACTATTCCCGCACACTTATTCCAAACGTTCACGTGTTCGCTTCGCGAACAACTTGCACATCAAGCCTATTCGGCGTATATTTCTCACTAGCGAGAAATACACCACCTCAGGGCATTGTGTGTCTTGCATGCACGCCACCACACTATCAGTGCATTAATCATAATAACACAGATTATCTATGACATAGATATTCACATTTTGTGCTAGATTTTATTATCATGTTTAATTTTTTTATTTCTACAAGTGACAAGATTACCCCCTAAGAATCTACAAGAACTTAAAATAATACTCATCAGACCAATAGGAAAAAAGGACATGTTTTGAATTGTTTACCCTATGTTTTGATGTAAGTTATAAAGTATTCTATGGTAACATATGCGATAAAAGTTTATTATCATAATTAAAAGCTCTAATTTTTATTAGTAAATTTGTATCTAAATGAATGGAATATTTTTAAATGTTTTCATCCAATTGATTTGTATTAGGGCCTCATTTGAATTTACTATAAAACCGTCTTCGTCGTTTCAGAATATGAAAAAAAAGTATTTTGATTGACTATAAGGCTTTCTAAAAAATTATTTTAAAAAAATGTTATTTCGTGTTCATTTTGGAATGTCATTTTAGTCCGTTCTTTAACTGCAATCCATGTTTTGATAGAGCAAAAAATTAAAATTATTCTCAAAAAGAAAGAAACACTGTCTCACAACCTAATGCATTATTTTTAATTTATGATAAGCTTAAACACGTGCTAAAGTTTTCTATTGAATTTTTTATGAAGTAGTTATGTATTTTGTTGAATAGATATGATGATTATTTGTAAATTCATGTTAAGTCAATTTGGTTTAAAACACTTTTTTTAAAGTTTTTTTTTAAACAAACTTTTATAAAACCAAAAGCTCAATCAAATAGTCCTTAATTTATTGGATCATTGTGGTTTATTAATTAATATAATACAATTTATTTAGTTTTTCAAGAGATTGAGTTTATCAATCACTACATTCTAATGGTTAAAGTACCAACATAAGTATAGGCGAAAAATTCAATCAAGTCATATCCATCTCTATTATGACTTGTGTTCAACCAAGAAAAGGTTATCGTGAGCCGTGAGATCACATGTGGTTTGACTACTGGTGGCCAGGGCACGTGACATGTAAAAACAGTTTTGAGTCATTGCATTTTGAATCGAACAACAATATGAAACCATTTAGGGGAGCAAAAATAGATTACCCATAGCTTTTGCCTAATTTAGAAGTTGTTGTGGTCCCTAAAGAATAAGCCACCAAATTAAGCAAACGGAAGAATAAGTATAGATGACTAGCACTTAAGAATTGTATATTACATCTTAGAATAGTGCCAATAGTCAAAGCATCGGAACTAATCCACAAATAATATTGATGAGTGTGCACACCCAAAATCCAAATGTATGCATTCTTGTTCATTATACAACTTAGAAATTGATTGGCAAACTTAGTATGTTATTAAGGCAAATTTACAGCAAAATGTCAAGAATCGCTCATCCAGTGACAATTTCTGCCTTTGAGAACCACATTTCTTGCTTCATGTGCAAGCTAAAAGACAGAAACACAAGCAATTTGTTTTGGAATTTCATAAAAGCAAAACCTTTAGGATAGCATAAAATGGGAATTACAAAGAAAAATTAGTTTTTGCAAACCCTAGAAGCCATACAAACAGAGGGAAAAAAAAAAAGCATAGTGACAGAAGTGACCTGAAATGTTAGCTGACTCAAACCCGAAAGGAGCTTCCTTTTGTGAAGTGAAACGCAGTGGTAGACCACCAGTCATTTCTTTCTCCAGATTAGCAATAGTTTCCTGGTCATAAACTTCCTTGGAAGCCCAGAACTGCAAAATTTTTTCCAATCGACTCTGATTTGCGTCCATATTCTGTGGGTTGTGATAGATCCTTGCAAGCATGCTTCCCAAGACAGGCTTAAATGCAAGTGCTTCATTATCCAGATCCAGGGGATTTGTTCTCCGTTGCAAACTGGGGGTAAAAATAAGTAAATAGACGGACCATGTGGACCAATAAAGTGCAAGAACGTCAGTTTTATATGTCAGTTCAATTAACAAAAAAACAAATATCAAACTGCTTTTGTGTAGGCAAGTGTTAGATGACCTATTGAAAGTGATTGGGCATATAGACCATTAAAATTTTAATCTGCAGTATTAAAGCATTTGAATCTCAGAAAAGTTCAGTTATCACAGAAACTACTACATGCATAAAAATTTAAGCAAGAGGGCTGTATCCGCGGTGGGTTAGTACCTCTGTCACTAAATTAAAAAGAATGAGAACTGATAGGTTATCTCAATTTGCTGAATATCTACAAAGAAAAGTCAGAATAGCCTAGCAAAACATAACTTCTAGCGCTAGTATGTCACAGTGAATGGATGAAAATAACGGTTATCATTGACTTTAACTGAAAAGTGTTCATGTTTAAGAAAACATTAATGCTGCAGGACGTTAAGCATAAAAAAGAAAATAGCTGCATGATACAAATGAAAGCCAAAATGGCTATATAATGCAAAATACAAAACACTTAAGATAGACTTATCAACTGCCAGAAATTAAGCCACTAACAAAAATCTGTTAAGCAAAATTTCTAAGAGCAGTGATAGAAAGGGGGGCCAATTACCTTTCAAAAAGTATGTCATTTGCCAGAAAAACTATGTGAAGCTGCCTCTCCGAATCATCTAGAGAGAATATTCGGTCTCTAAGAGCATCAGCTAATGCTGGAGCAAAAGGTGACCTTTGCATAAACCACATCTTTGCTCCCTTTATCGACTCTTTAGTGCCAGTAAGATTGCTAAGCACACTATTTAGCTCTGCAGCAACATCAGTAGGAAGTGGCCCTGATAGACCCTTAAAATTTTTCATGGAAGACTCATAGTCAGAGCGAGCTTGGCTCGAGAAACCCTGGTGATGTGGTGGCTGTTGATGCTGGTCAAAATAAAGAGGATATGAAGGTTGGTGTGGCTGTGGTCCTGGCAGCATCAAACCAGGGCCTCCAGCCACAGCACCCAAAGGAGGAGGACTCAGAGAAGAAGGATTAAGCATGGGATTATGTGATGGAGGCATCATTGGAATTGAGGACGCAAATGAAGGGTTAAAGGCCAGACCTGATCTAGTGGATAGCCACAACTTGTAGCGATAGTAATTATGCCCTTCACCCCCGAAAAGGAAACTGTAAGCAGGATTGTCCTGCTCCCTCTCACGTATAAGAGCCTCAAATTCAGGGCCATTTCTTGCAGCATATTCAATTAACTTATCAATTCTTTTGTGAAGCTCAGGATCTGCAGGGGGTGCAACAGGAGGTGTTGAATCATATGGGTGCATCATAGGAGGACGCAAGAGATGAGGAGGTAGATGAGGTGGATATCCAGATGGTTGTTGTTGCTGTTGTTGAAGATGTAACATTGGATGGGTTGGATGTGGATAGAGCTGCTGCTGCTGAGGTAAGCGGTGATGGTAAGGGTACTGTTGAATAGAGTGGTGAGGAGGCATGAACGGTGATCCATGCATTTGTTGAGGATGCTGTGGTGCTTGTGAATGAAAACCAAACTGTTGTTGCTGTTGAATATTGGCTTGCTGCTGCTGCTGCTGAGCAAAAGCCATTGCAGCAGCATAATCATGAGCTTGTCTATCCATCAGCAGGCCCTCCTATTAAATGAAATGGAATGTAAGCAGTTCAAATCATAACAACCATTGTACCAATCACACTTCTGATTTTTGATAGTTGAAAACCTGAAAAAACCCCAGGTACTCGTCATTAGTAAGTAATAAAATAGGAATTTTTTTTTAAATTGGTATTCTTTGCTTGGATGAGGTCCTTTGCAGAGGAACAAGCCATTTAAAAGATAAAACATAAAAAACATGCTCCTATGGAATATGAAGTCCAGGAAGATGTTAATCCGAACAGCCAAATTAGGTAATACAGATATTTTGAAGAAACGCATGACTTCCAAAACCAATATGACCATTGGAAATCAGATAATAAAAGATTGCAATATCACTGCCATCCAAGATGCTTTACCCACATTGTTCGCATGGAGCAGAATGATTGACCTGTAATAATATGATGTTTCTGAAACTTAGGAAACACTTTCAGGCCTTTCAGCCAAGCTCTGACTTTATGTGAATCTATAAACAGTAATAAACTCTTAATCAAAATAGAAACCTAATCACTCTAAAGGCTAAGAATAAATCAGCTGAGCAGAGCAAAAGTAAAATGCATTCCCTCTCAAATAAAATGAAACAAGAACGACAGAAATCATTCAAATGCTTGAAAATGGACAAGAAAAAACAATGTAAATAGAGCCGCCAAAAAAAAATTGCAAATAGTTTCAAAATTTTATATGCATTTGCATTAACACCAGCTAATAACTTTTCAAAGTTCTAGAGATAGAGGGTTTTTTATCACACCTGCCAAAGAGGCCCAACAATTCTTTAAACATTACGACTAGATGGTGCGACTTTTACAAATTACATATATTTCCTTATCGAGTTAGTCATCAATAATATAAATGCCAATCTCTAATACATAAGACAATGCTTACTGAAAACACAAAATAAGATGGAGTGATTTGGCATTAACCTACGAGGCAAGGCCTGGGATGTAAAGTCGAAGCAGTTTTGTATCCCAAAGAAAGAAATGCATATTAACACAAAGTGTATGTATGCATATACATACAAATATATGCATATATATACATAAATACATATACATAAATACATAAATACATGCATGCATACATACATACATATATATACATATATATATACATACATACATACATATACATATACATATACATACATACATATACATATACATATACATACATACATATACATATACATATACATACATACATATACATATACATATACATACATACATATACATATACATATACATACATACATATACATATACATATAATGTATGTATGTATGTATGTATGTATGCATGTATGCATGTATGTATGTATGTAAGCATTAATCTACAATCATAAGCGGAACAGAATTTTATTGAAGCAACCAAAATAATAACAACTTATGATCAATGAAAAATAAAAAATCAAACAAATTGAAAAGAAAGGGATCAACTACATTTGTAAAAGTGAACCAAACTCAACATAAGTGTCTAGACAAAGAAATAATAATAAAAAAAATAAATATTGAATCAAAAGAATAACTATTATTGACAAATAAGCTCAATGCAATAATGGGCCCAAACCTATTAGGATTTGTTAAAAGAAATATTTTAAAAAAAGATTTTTCTTGACAAACACAACAAATAACTTCTATCTATTCAGCAAACAACTAATGGGCTGCCTTAAAAAATGTTTATTCAATTACAAAAAATAAAATAAAATAAAAAACCTTGAATCTAACAAAATTGGTACAAGTTCATTGGCTCTAAATGGTCATCTCATAAACGCCTTAAATGAAAAAGAGGATACCATTATATTTTAGATAGTAGATTATGGTGCCTAAAATAATATGGCAGGTGGTATATTAATTCTAGATATTTATAGACATATAATAAAAAGCTTACTATTAGAATTGATGATAGTTCATCATAAGGAATTGCTAGAATTGGATTTGTTTGCATCTCAAACATATTAACTCTTGACACTATCTTAGCAGTACAAGGCTTGATTGTAACCTACTGTCTGCCAATAAACTCATCCATGATCTAAACTATAATACTAATTTTGTGCCTAATCTTTGTGAATTTTAGGAATTGAAAAAGGGAAAATTGATTAGCAATGCTCAGATGTATTTGGGGTTCTATCGCCTCAAACTTGACTCTTCAAAACAACAAGCTCTTAAGGTCATCTAGTCAGTATTAAAATAATCGTTTGTTATGGTTTAATTCTAGTAAAGAATGGTCAAATCATGTTATTTCACTCTCAATCAGGACATCCTACCTTCGCATATCTTGAAAGGCTATGCGCTTTGTTATTCAAGAACAACAATTCAAAAATTTCTCATGCAAAATTTGTCAGCTCACAAAACATATGAAAATTTATTATTTATAGTTATTATACAAAAAATAACATCTTTATTTTTATTCACTCAAGTATCTTGGGACGATCCTGAGTTCAAAATGATACTAGAAATTGTTAGTCTATTTCCTTCAAAAATGATCACACTATGGTCACATAGATATTCCATCCTTCAAAAATTATCACAGTAGGGTCACATAGAAGTTCCATATGAAAAGAAAAATCTAAGACATGTCAGACATTTAAATTTTTTAAAAATATAGTTCAAACTCAATTTTAAATAAAAATATAAGTATTGAAAATTTTAGAATGCAAAATAATATTCTACCTCAATCCCTGGTGATTATCTATCAAGTCTAAGGTAAATTTTATCAAAGCTAATGTGTTGCACTCTACAACAAAATAGGATAGTTAAAAGAAAAAATAATTTTCTACTTGAGATAACCAAATCACTCATGTTCACCACAATTATGAAGGTTTAGGATGAGACAAGCACCAATGTCAAAAACATTCTTATAAGCCAAGCCATGCTAAGATGTGCATGGAGTGCCCTTAGTAGCTGAGTTAAACCCAAGCAGGCCCATAAATTGATGCTAAAATTCAAATTTAAAGCATTCTATGACACTTGTCAATTTATTATTGGGTTTTTTTTTCAAAGGAATGGTCAGAGGCTATTATAAGAGCCTCCAACCACCCCTAATGTGTCAAACAGTTCAAGTACCACCTCCTTAAGACCAACTGTGCCAGAGGGGATTCGAACCCCTGATCTGAGGTCTTATAACGTGGATGCCAACCAACAGGCCAAAGTCCGCGACACTTATTGGGCTTAAACAAAGATTTCCATTTTTAAGGCCTACATATTGTTTACACGATATTTAATATGCCTTCTTAACTATTCTAATTATAACAAAGCTAGAGATGTAAAATATATTCTAATTACATATAGAACGACTTACCTCAAACTTCATATAGAATTTTGATCATCAACCTCAAATTGCCTCCATTTGTATCAACAACACCTAGAAAAATTGCTATGTTAACTTCTATTATAAGATGCACAATGATCTACTACACTTATTCACCAAAAATCTTATGTCAGGCCATCCTAATTTTTTGACTCTTTACTCATCTCTAAGATAACTTAAAGTGTGTAAACCACCCAAGAAAAATAAAAGCGTCGATTGTCACAATAATTTTATGATGAGGAAGATTTCCAAGGTTCATGTTTTCCTTCCACCAATTAACCTAAACAACAATATGCTCTATTCTTAGGGTTTTGTGTTAATTACTTAGCCTTTCATCAACAAAACATGACAATAAGCCAATCCAAATACTTTTCCAACTCAGAAATAGTAAATCCTCGTTTGTTTGGGTTAGTTTTAAACCTAATGTTAAACGACGAGGAGGGATAGCTAGGTGAAGGAAAGCCCTTGCTCTGGCGAGAGAATGCTTCGTACGAAAGTGTTCCCTGGCCATGGCTGGTAGAAAAGAGGAAGAGAAGGGGAAAGCAAAGAAGAAGTCGCAAGGGAAGAGGAATTAGCGCAAAAGCCTTTCACAATAATGCCATCGATGTAGCGATCATAGCTCCGTGCGTTCCCCCTGTCGATCTCCCGCATCCCTGCTTCCTCCTTCGGGCGCTCTCCACCTCGTCCCCCGTCTCCCTCATTCCCTCTCACTAGTTATCCTCTAAACCTGACCCTCCTCACTCTATCCCAATCGATGTTCTCTCCCTCTCCCGAATCCCTCTTTCATCCATTCTCTGAATATCTCTGAATCGCGCCTCTCCTTGATCTCGATTAGAGAATTAAACTGAGGCGAGGGAACTAGGGCTAGAAGAAGAATCCCGAATGGAACGCATGCCTACCAGAAGAATCTAGAGTGTAAACTAAGTTCATGCTCACCTTGGTCGGAGGAGATGATCGGAGGAAGCGAGCAGCCAGCCGGTAACAGTTCCCACCGTGCTTGGAAATAGCATTAGCCTTGGTTAGGAACTTGAAGCCCGGAATCAATGAAGAAATAAGGGTTTTATATATAACTCAAATCTTTTAATAAACACAGAAAAATAATATGTTACAAAAAATAATATGATTACTTTGGTTTTGTATTATCATGTTAGAATATCAAGCAACAGATCTTTACATAATACTATATAAGTCACATTGACTTATTGGCTGAAAATTTTATTTTATAACCTAAATGTCGTTTGTTTAGTGTCTTGCATGTGTGATGTGCGTGACTTTGAGTGTGTGAAAAAAAAAATCTCTTGACAGAAAGTTGTCCAACAGCCTGAATCATTGTCTTCATGCCACTTAAGCTTCTATTCAAATCCTAAACCTTAACAACATCGAAGCAAGCACAAAAGGAGTTTGTTGGAGGAGGAATTGAGGAGACACATGTGAAGGAAATTGAATACATTGGATGTCAAATTTAATAAATTTGGGATTTAAGGTGCAACGGGAGAGAAGTGGGTGTTTTGTATGATTTAAGTTCTTTTCATTTTTATTTTTACTTTTTATTTTGGCAACCTAACATCATTGAGTGTTGCAAGTTTGTTGGTGTCACTTCTCCTTCAAATCAAATGAGGATGTGAGTAGTTCTTGAAACAAGCATGCGAGTTTGTTATTACTGTAGAACAATCGTTTTTATCAATGCTATTATTTTGCATGTTCATTTCCATACCATCAAGTAAATCCAAATTTAATAAATAATTATAGGTCTAAAACACTAAAATTATTTGGCATCACAACTATCAAATTTTGCCATTTTATCATTAATTATCTAGCTTTTCTATCAAGTTGTTGGATTTGGGATATGAGGAACTCTTAAATCCAATTTGTCCTTTGAATGGTGGATTTAACCAATAATGAGGCTGGAACATACTTTATAAGTGAAGTGGGAACTAAATTCCCTGAAATTCTATATTGCACAACAAAAGTTAAATTTATCTTAAATCCCAACATCTTAAATTTTGGCTAAAATTGAATACTAAACGCCCCTGTGCTAGCTAGTTCCTAAGCTTGCATTGTATGGATATTTCATTATAGGCAAGAGCTCTTGATTATCAACATGAAGCAATGATGAAACCATGATGAAACAATGAGGAACTATTACATCAAATTTTTAGGTATTGAGCTTTTCTTTAAAGGCCTTATGGTCAACTCAGTATGAGTGTTATTTTAGTTTGATTCAAATAATTGTTCTTTTAGGCTTCATTCAACAATCTTTTTTTTTCCTTCAAAATTTTTCTTTTGAGTGAAGATTTAATTTATTAGCACTTGATCTAGGGTAAATTAGGTTATGCAGCCTATAGTTTAACATTATGAAAACAACAAGAGGTATTTACATGCATAGCGCTTAAAACATCCTTATTTACATATATGATACCTAAACTTTGATATTTACGTATAAAGCACTTAAATTCCTTAATAAAAACAACAGATGACTTTGAATATACAATGATTAGAATCTCTCATTTTTCCTCTCCTAGTATCTCTCTGTCTTATTGCTTGGATTGTTTTATGTTCAATTTTCTACTTTTGTTTTTAATTCGTAATGTTGAAGTTTTGAAAATAATTGTAAATGAATTAAATATTCAATTATATTCATGATTTTATATTTTTATTTTCTATTGATAAGTTATTTAAACTTGCTAATAGTTTGGAGATTGGTGTCTTAGTGTACATTGAAATGGAAAATAGGGATCTACTGACACAAATACACGGATCGGTAGAATTTCTTCAAAAATTAATCCTTTTCAACAAACATTATTTATATTTGGTCGATAAAAAATCTTATGGAAAAGTATATTATGTCATTTGTTAATGATCTCTATGAATGCACAGATGATGTTCATATGAGTTTATCAAACTCAAAGTTCTTATGGGTCTCCAAGTTTTAATTTAATATTATGTGCTACCTACAAAAGATCATGAAAATATCTATAAACTAATTAAAATTGCATTTTTTTTAATATTAATTGGATTTATTGCCCCAGTTCTTTTTATGTTATTTTTTTGATAATAGTAGTCTTCATTTCTTTCGTGTACTTTTTTGTAATGTACGTGCATTTTATCTATTAGATTAGAGTTAGATAAGCACTTACTTGCTTTGTAAAATCTAAAATGAGTTTGAGTAACTAGATAGTGTCAATAAGCATTGATGATTGTTAAATATAGTATCATTGTAACTTACAATGTAAATTATTCACCTATTACTAATATAATACTCATAAAATAAGATTTATAAGGTTTGTTACAGTGGTAGAATGATAATTTAATGTTTTAGCATTGCACAAAAATCTATTACACACACATATAATTAAAAAGTAGCAAGAGGAGACTCCAATATTTTTTACTTAGTAAAACCCTGAAAATGAAAAAAAAATAAAAGGGCTTAGCCCAATCAAAGTAATTCAACATGCAATTGTATGTACATAGACTTACTCTTTTCCTGAGTTAGTGAAGATGGAATTACAAATGATGATAATCACATATGTATAATAATAGTTTAGATATAATTTAGGCATACAATAAATGTAGTTGATCATGAAGTATAGTCGGTGGCTGTAATGGCGGTAGTTGGCCACAAAGGTTGTAGATGATGGTTGTAATAGTGATAATTAGCCACAAAAGTCGTATTTGGAAGTTGTAATAGTGTTATTCGACCATATAAGCTGTAGCTGATGACTGTAATAACATCAGTTAGTCATAAATGTTACATTTAAATATTGTAGTAATGTCAATTAGCCATGGTGGTCATAGTTGGAGATTGCAATAATGTCAAATAACCACAGAGGCTATAGTTGAAAGTTGTAATAACATCAGTTAGCTACAGAGGTCATTGTTGGAGACTCTAATAGTGTTAGTTAACCACAATGGTCTTAGTTGGATGCAATAATAACATCAGTTGACCATAGAGGTTGTGGTTGTGACTGCAATGCGTAAGTTAGCCACACAAGTCATACTTGGAAGCTATAATTGTGTCCATTGGTCACAAAGGCTAGTAAAAGTTTTCTTGGTGAAGGTTGGGCGGCACTTTCCGAGTATAATAAATAAAAGGGGCAATTACGTACAAAGCATCCGAAACATCCTATTTACAAATCAACCACCCTCTTTCATCCATTTTTCAAATTCTCACTCAAATATCAAAATTCATGGTAAAACCCCACCTCATATTTTTTATTTTTATCAAATTCTCAATGTTTGATCGTGGCACGCATAAATACATTGATTCGATTGTTAAAAAAAAAAATTTCACCTTGGTGGTTAATTTGTAAATATCAATGTTTCATGTGGAATGTATATAATTATCCCTAAATAACAAAAAAAAAACATTTTTTTTTGGGGAGGGTTGATATTTGTATCATTAAGACATCATTAACGATGATGAAAATGAAGATACCAATAACAACAACATCAACTGAAAAATGGGAGAGCAAGAAAAGATGCAAAAATATGACATGGAGGGAGTGATAATCTCTCTTGCTAGATTATGCAAGATTCAAAATAATGATATTTTGTGCCCTAACATTACGCATTATTTGTTGGTGGAGGTCAGGGACATAATTGCAAATAACTAATATAAAGGTATATTAACCGATCTCTCTCTCTCTCTCTCTCTCTCTCTCTCTCTCTATATTATAAGAATTTAAAGAGGCTTATGCACATTATAATGCTTTTATGGGGCATTTACTCCATACCACCCAAATCCAAAGTATTTACATATCCAACCACTAAACTATATATTTTTATATTTATACCATAAAAATATTTCATATCACATAACAATACCGCTATTTTAACTTCTAAAAGTAGAATGCACTTTTCTAAGGTGTTATGTATGTAGAAATTAAAGTTTATATATTAGATATATGAGAACATAGAAATTGTGTAGCACGTAAGCAAATTTCCTATTTTAATCGCTCATGCAAAATCAAGAGAACTTTACAAACATGCCGCATAATTCTTATATATTCGCGCATATCCAATATTTTGGTGTTATAAATTTATGCATGAAAATCATTTTAACAAAAGATAGTGATTAGAGTATTTTTGATGTGATGTAATAATGTACATGAGATGCATGTAAATATGAATGGTTAGAGGTTAGATATGTAAATTCATAAGATTCGAATCATGTGGTATGTTTTAAATGCCTCAATCATAAAAAAATAAAGATATTTCAAGCGAATTTGTTTCCTGCATTCCTACCCTTACACTTCCCGGGAAGCCCTATCCACTCAAACTTCAGCTTTTGCGGATTATATATATATAATTAATGAGCATATTTCGAGTCAAAGCGACCGGAACAAGAAAGCGAAAATCTTTATTTTTGTTCGACTCATTTATATATCGAGCACAGAAAAGATGTTCGTGTTTGGCTTGTTAACCTAACGAACGAATCAAACATAAACTTCTTAATGAGCCGAACACGCACTGTTCATGAACAACGTCCCGTTTAGGCAGCCCTAATACAAATAATCAATTAAATTTTATATTATTTATCTTATAACAAATAATATTGAAACAAGGGATTGCTAACTAACAATTTAGTTAATTCAAAGTCAGATTCTTAAAAATTTCATGGAAAAAAAAATTCATTAATTTTCTCAACAAAATTTTACTGAAATAAAATTTAAAATTTACTTTATAACGAATATAATACATAAATTCACTGCTATATATATAAGGATGGGGAGAGCTGACGGCCGCCGCGGCGGAGATGAGCGCGCAGCAGGCGGTGAGTGCGGTGGCGAACGCTCTGGAAAAGCTGGTGGAGCGGAACGATATTGTAGCGGCGGCGACGGCGGCGGCGGAGGAGGGCGGCGGAAAAGAAGGGGGAGTGGCGGCGTTCAGAGGGCTGAGGCGGCCGGGAATAAGCATAGAGAAGTATATGGAGAGAATCCATAGCTACGCCCTTTGCAGCCCGGCTTGCTTTGTGGTTGGGTTCGTCTACGTCGACCGGGCGGTCCACCGCCGGCCGGACTTCCTCGTCGGTTCGCTTAATGTCCATCGGCTTATGCTCACCAGTGTACTGGTCGCCTCCAAGTTCTTCGATGTCATGTGAGTTTCCCCTTCTCTCTTTATTAAATAATTGTTTTTTTTTTAATTTTTTTTATTTTGCTTAGGAAGCTCGAATGGATATTAAAGGGTTATTAATAATGATTTACTTTATGAGAATTATATATAGGAATTGAGTTTAATTAGTTTTAAAATTGATTTCACTATTAACAATTTTGTGCAAGGAATTATATGATATCGATTGCGTGTCAAATAATTCATGATGATAGAGTGAAAATTTAACGTCTTAGTATTGCATGAAGATAATATACAACAGACACATAAATAATAGAAAATTAGTAGGATGAGACATCATAATTTTTGCGTGGAAAAACCTGAAAAAGGAAAAAAAAAACATGAGTCTAACCTAGTTAAAATAATTTAGTATGTAAATGTACGTACATAGATTCACTCTTCTTCTGAATTAGAAAAAATAAAATTACAACATTGATTAATATAAATATATAATTGTAGTTCATCTATATCAGTCTTAATTGGGCCACAACAAATGTATTTGATTATGAAAGCTGTAGTAAGTGGCTACAACAGCAGTAGCTGTAACGGTAATAGTCGATAACAAAGGTCGTAGTTGGTTGATGCACATATAGTAGTTGGCTAAAAAGATTGTGGTCAGAAGCTGTAACAGTATTGATTAGTCACGTATGCTGTAATTTGTGATTACAATAACATAAATTAGCTATATAGGTCGTAGTTGTAAGATATAACAGTAATAGTTTGTCATAGAGGCTATAGTTGGTGACTACAATAAAATTAGTTGGCCACAGATGCTGTAGTTGGTTATTGCAATAGTGTTAGTTGGTTATAGCGGTCATAGTAGGAAGCTATAACACTAGTAGTTGGCTACATAAGCCAATTAATTGACGATAAAAACTGTAATTGGTTGCTACACAGGAAGTAATTGGCCACAAAGGCTATATTGGGTGACTACAATCTCGTCAGTTGGTCACAAAGACTGTAGTTGAATATTGTAATAACATTAGTTGGCCATAAATATCATGGTTGATGACTACAATAGCACTAGTTAGCCACATAGGTCATGATTAAAAACTGCAATTTTATTAGTTGGTCACAGATCATCTAGTTGAAAGTTGTAACAAATAATAATAGGCCACAAAGACTAGGCCACAAAGACTGTAATTAATGATTCAATCCTTTTTCTCTAGACAAGAGTATAATTTTACTTCAGAGACAACACTTATTTGAATATAACATGTACACAAAATACAGTTTTTAGGAACAATCACCAAATTTTGACTGCTATGGTCATAAGCAATGGTCGCAGGTGGTTGGAATAAAGTGACGATGTAGATCGATTTTTATGGAGATCGAAATTATCAAGAGGTCTTTAATACAACATTATGCATTACAGTTAGATTTGATATACAACATTAGCAAATAGTGGCCGCTTATGGTGGCGAATTGGGGCTGCGAGCAATGGTCGACAGTGACCGATGGGTAATGGTCAACAGTAGTCGGTTTGCAGAGGCCAAAAGTTATCGTTGGATCTTCAATATGATGTCGTTTACAATCATATTGGGGATACAAAGTTAGCAATTATGAGTCATTGACAGCGGCGAGCAAGGGTGACCGAAGTTGGTCAATGGTGGATGATAGGTGGCGGTCGACTGCTATATAGGTCATAAGTTATCGTTGGGTCTTCAATATATCATTATATGTTACAACCAAAATTTGAGATACACCATTAGCAAGCTGAGGTCATCGATGATAATGAGCAGGGGTGCCCGACGATGGTCGATAACAACCAACAAACGATAGTTGAAGATGATCGGTGGTTACGGAGACCGAAAGTTATCATCGGGTTTTCAATACAATGTTATACGTTACATCTATATTTGGGATATGTCACTAGCAAGTAGAGGTCACTAACGACTGATGGTGGTCGATGGTAGGTGACAAATAGAGGTCGAATGTGGTCGACCACTATGAAATTAAGAAGTTATTGTCAGGTCTTCAACGTTATACAATACAACCATATTTGGGATATGACATTAGTAAGCACATGTCATCAATGCCAAAGAGCAGAGGCAGTTGGCGGTTGTCGCAGTAGTCGACAGACGGTGATCGATTATGGTCGGCGGCTACAGAGGCCAAAAATTACCGCTGAGTCTTCAATATGACGTTATATGTTATAACCATATATGAAATATGACGTTAGCAAGCAAGGGTCACCGATGACAGAGAGCAAAGGTGGTGGTGGGCGGTTGTCAGCGACTATAAAGACTTGAAGTAATCATCGGGTTATCAGTCCAGAATAGGCTTTGAAATTCCTCCTCTTCCCCTTCTCCCTTCAAGTAAAGATAAGAGGTTTATTTATATAACCTATGGGATAAGACATTTTGGTCTTTTGGTAAATAACTTTCCTAACCACTTGATCGAACGACCAAAGGTTTTTTTTAGTGATTTGAGTGCCATCAAGACCTTGAAATTGAGTGATCATGGGCTGGTTGGATTTCTCTTATCGAGGCGCTCGATTTGACTATGAATATGTCAAATTTGAGATTCATTTGATCATTCAATTGATGATCCAAACCCTTCAAATATGCTTAATGGCTTGATCTGGGCTTAATTGGACTCATATTGAACCAATTATGTTATCATCGAGTTCATCTTGTCGAGACAATCAATTTCATTATGAACTTGCTAAAATAGAGACCCCGAACGAACTTGAATTTGAATATGGAATATTTTGTACTAAAAAAATACCTCGAGATTCATGTCAGAGAAAAATTTCTTAATGGTGCATCAACACCCATAAGTAAAATGAATGCAATTTAATTAAAATATAGTGTATTTGAAATATTTTTGTAGGCGTTTGGTACAAATATTTGTCATTGTAATTTTTATGTTTGGTTTAAACCCTGATGATGAAGGTGATAGATGTGAGCTAATGGCGGTGGCTAGTGACAACCAACTTTGCGGAAGGTGGGCGGCAATGGGCAGTGGTGGAGATAGGCCACAACCACGGGCAACGATTGGTGGTTTATTGAGCCAGTGATGGCGACCAATAGTGACAGACAGTAAGAGGTGGACAATGGAAGTGACAATAATGACAACGACAACTTCTGCGATATATTTGAAAATCAATCAAACCAAACAAGTTTTAAATTTAAAAACTAAACTAAAAGATTAGTTTTAAATACCTCAAACTCTCACGATATATATATTTTTTTCATTCAACTAAACATCAAACCTTTAAACATCCCTGCATTCCTATTGCATTACCATGGTGATGCAACAAACCAAATATCCTTTAAATTCTAAAACCTATTTTATTCATAAAATTCATCTATCACATTCATCAAAACAAACTATAAGATCAACAACAATTCAGAGTTCTTTTTTACCTAGTAATTTGCAGTCCTCCATGTCCTGAAATCTTGATCCATCTCTTCTGATGGCCATCAAAGAAAAATAAATAATACCTGTAATTTATGAATCAGCAATCTTAGAATTTATTAAACTTTGATGTTAGTGATCAAAATCTAAATAAATATTGAAGAATGATGATTTACATCTTGATATTCCATATATATATATATACTTGCAGGGCACAAAGCAATGCATTCTATGCTAAGGTCGGAGGCGTGAGTAATGCGGAGCTGAATAATCTGGAACTGGAGCTGCTCTTTTTATTGGATTTCAATGTCAATGTGAGCTTGCAGGAGTTCGGAAGTTATGTCTCTTATTTGGAGAGGGAGATGTTGGCAAAGCTGGAAGGCTCAAGGCAGATCCACTCTTATGTATAAATATATGTTGGCCTGAATCATACCAACTGTTAGAGCTATTAATTCCTCTGCCGTTGCCTGAAATGTTTCAGTATTGAAAACAATAATAAATTGTTTTTGGGGCATTTACATACATGTCAGTATGTCTAAAATCTAAATTTTTATTTTTCCCTTTTTTTTTTACATTTATAACACCCAAATGTTTCATATCACATCAAATATATAACTATTAATTACCCTTAAAAAGTGTAATGCATCCTTTTCTTCCTTAAGTGATTTAAATGCAAGAATTCAATTTATAAAAATATATATATATAAATCTTTCTTATTTTCATTCATCAATCTCATGGAATAATGGTACTTACTATCTATATGAGAGGTTAGGGTGTAATAGTATTATGTAGTTTTAAATCTGCATCTTAATTTTGATTTATAAGGTGTCGTACGTTGAATGGGCTCTGCCTGGAAAATTAATGTGAGTTTATTTATTATTATTAATATTATTATTCTTATTCTTATAATTATTATTATTATTTTTTTTTTGGGTTTCATTCCGGAATGATGTCAAAATTGTTCTTCATAATGAAGAGAAGGTCAGCTTCATGGTTTTACCTCATGATTGTGCAGAAGTTTAAATGCGTGAACTTCGTTAGCTTAGAAGTTGCTCTCTAAAATTTGCTCTCTTTTCTACAGAAGGGATGGAATTTTTTTTTTTAATTTTTTTAAAATCTTAAGTTAATCAAATAGAGCATTGGCCTCTTGTAATCCACTTGGTAAGTTCAACGTACCATTTCCTAATTGTGCATTTTTGTCCTAAAAATAATATGGAATATTATTTGTGATGTAAATAACAGATTCCCTGCAAAGCTTTCCTTGTGGCAATGCCTCAAACCGAGCAGATCAAACCACCTCTGCTGGCTCCCACGCAAACCAAAAAAAAATATTACATCAGGACTCCTAACGTAAAGCTACGTTCGGATTGAAATATTCGATTGTGTTACGAGAACATTCCATCTGCGTTATTTGTAAAAATGATGTGTTAAAAAGAGTCTATTTGCTCCAAATATTGACATGGTATAAGACCTTTAATCGGTCTGAATCCTTGAAATTTTAGCTTTTGTTATCTTTGACCGGCATCTTCGACTGCTTCATCACCGGAGCGCTCATTCTTGTCTTTGAGTTATGCGGCATTTTCTTCCGCTTTGTTTGAGTTCTGCCGCTGCTTCAAGCCGATCGACTCCCTTCGATATGACCTCTGGTGCCGCATTCTGCGGCATCTTCTTGAGCGGACCTCTAGTGCAACATCTTCTTGAGCGACATCTTCTTAAGTTTTGCTGCTGCGTTCTGCGGCTCTGATTGAGTTCTGCGACATCTTCTTGAGTTCTGCCGCTACAATCGCTCTATTTGAGTTCTGCCGCGATCTTCTCGTTCGCTCCGAGTTCTGCCTTTTCCGCTCGTTCTGCCGCGATCCGCTTGTCCACTCCAAGTTTTGCCGCGATCGTCGCTCGTTCTAAATCGTCTCTCCGAGTTCTGTCGTGATCCACTCATCCGCTCGTTTGCTCCTGCCGCAATCCACTCCGTTCGATCGGCACGATCGCGACTGCTTCAAGCTTCGCCTCGCTCGATCTAGCCTTTCACGTTGATTTAGATCAACGATTTGAATTTTATTTATCTTGGATTTTTAGTTGATTTCGATCGACGATCAATCTATTTAAAATGTCTTCTGAAATCTTAGCTATCAGATTTATAGGAAAAAATAATGCTGCATGGGAATTTCAGCTCGAAATGTTCTTAAAAGGGAAGGAGCTTTGGGGTCATATTGATGGGTCTTCCTCAGCTCCTACTGAGGCAAAAGATCTTGGTCAATGAGAAGCAAAGGATTAAATGATGCTCGGATTGTTTGTTGGATCTTGGGATTTATTGAGGCTCATATGGTGAACAATTTACGATCCTTTGGCACAACTAAAGAAATATGGGAATACTTGAAGCGCGTTTATAATCAAGATAATTCTGCGAAACACTTCCAATTGGAACTTAACATGAGTAATTATAGTCAGGGTAATCTTTCAACTGAATAATATTATTCTGGCTTTTTAAATTTATGAAACGAATATACTAGTATTATTTATGCTAAAGTGTCAAACGAGAACTTAGCTAGTCTTCAAGCTATTCATGAAGAAAGTCGTCGTGATCAGTTTTTAGTGAAACTGAGACCTGAATTTGAAACTGCTCGAGTTGGGTTGCTGAACAGAGATCCGATTCCGTGTTTGAATGTTTGTTTTGGGCAATTACTACGCGAAGAACAAAGATTGGTGACACAAGCTATTATCAATATAACAGGTGAATCATCAGAAATAATTAATATGACATATGCTGCTAAGACCAAAGGGAAGGGGCCGGTGCAGTGCTACAGCTGTAAGAAATTTGGTCATATTGCACGGAATTGTGAAAATAATGTATGTACTTATTGTAAGCAAAAGGGACATACTCTCACAGAGTGCCCAACACGACCCCAAAATCGCAAACCATAAGCACTTCATGCCACGATATCCAACACTCACAATCCTGTCTCGACTTCTACAGTTGCCAACAATAATCAATCAACTGTCACACCCTATATGGTTCAACAGGTGATTCTCTTTGCCTTTTCTGTTCTCGACCTTCACGGGAAAGGTAAAACTATTTCTTCGGTTACTTCTTCTTGATTTGTTAATTCAGGCGTCACAAATCATATGACTAGCACAGCTGAGTTATTGCATAACCAACGACCGTACACTGATACTCAACATATTCAAGTTGCTAATAGAAATAATATTCTAATTACGACAGTTGGTGATATTAACTCATCCTTCAAACATGTCTTCGTTTCTCCTATTCTCCCTACTAACTTACTCTCTGTTGGTCAAATTGTGGATAATAACTGTGAAGTATATTTTTCTCGTGATGGTTGTATTGTGCACGTTATTTTTCTCGTGATGGTTGTATTGTGCAGGATCAGGTGTCGGGAAGGTGATAGCGAAGAAAGTGAAAGTGGACAGACTGTTTCCATTACAATTTACTGTTCCTCAGAATATTTCATTAGCATCTTCAGTTGTTGAGAATAAGACGAATATCTGACATAAAAGACTAAGTCATCCAAATGATATGGTGTTGAAGCATTTACGTAAAAATGATGTTTTTTATTCTACAAATAAGAGTTTAGTAGTTGATTGTTCTGTTTGTAAACTTATTAAAAGTAAGATATTACCTTTTTCTATTTCAGCCAGTCGTGCCAACAAATATTTTGACATTATTCATAGTGATGTTTGGGGAATTACACCAGTTATTTCACATGTTCAATATAAATATTTTGTGACATTTATTGATGATGACAATTGATTTACTTAGATACATTTTTTATATTCCAAAATAGAAGTATTTACTATATTCCAAACATTTTTAGCATATGTTGAAACTCAGTTCTCCGCTCGCATTAAAACCTTACGGTCTGACAATGTTGGTGAATACATGTCTCATGAGTTTCAAGCATTTCTCCATAACAAAGGGATTGTTTCACAACGTTCATGTCCCTATACACCGCAACAAATGAAGTTGTTGAACGAAAAAAATCGGCATCTATTGGATACCGTGCGCACATTACTGATAGAATCTTCTATTCCAGCTAAATTTTGGACTGAAATTTTATCTACTGCAATTTATCTAATTAATTATTTATCATCTCAACAATTGAAGTATGAGTCTCCCTACTATCGAATTTTTGATAAATACCCTAATTATCATATGCTACATACTTTCGGATGTGTTTTCTTTGTTCATCTACCTGCACATGAACGTCAAAAATTGACAGCTTAGTCAGTACAATATGCCTTTATGAGGTACAGTCCTAATCATAAATGTTTTGTGTGTTATGATTCGATTAATAGTCGATGACATATTTCTCGAAATGTGATTTTCTTTGAACATGATTATTACTTTCAGCATCATGTGTCCACACCAGATACAGTTATACTTCCACAATTTGATAATTCTTCTACTGATAAACGGTTCAAGCCAGACATTGTCTACACACGACGCCTGCCCCCTTTACCTTCAATCCTCCCCGACCCTGATCCAGAAATTGCTCCAATAATTATTCGACGATCAACCTGGCGTATCCTTCCTCCAGATAGATATGGATATTCTATAATTTTAACTAATACTACTGTTCCTACCTCTTACTTTCAGACAGCTAAACAAACTTGTTTGGTCAAAGACATGAAAGAGGAACTTCAGACACTTCAAGACAATCACACTTTGGATATTGTTTAATGTCCTACAGGTGTTAAACCCATTGGTTGTAAATGTGTTTATTCTCTTAAACTCCGATCTGATGGCTCTATTGACAGATATAAGACAAAATTAAATACAGGATTGATTATGATGAAACATTTGCACATGTGGCTAAGATGATAATTGTTCGACTGGTGTTATCTATTGTTGCATCTAAAGGTTGGTTTTTAAAGCAGATGAATGTTAAGAATGCATTCTTACATGGAGATCTCAAAGAAGATGTCTATATGACTCCTCCAGGCTTGTTTTCTACAACTTCACATGATGTTTGTAAGCTCAAACGATCCATATACGGTTTGAAACAGGCTCCAAGGGCCTGATTTGAAAAGTTTCGCAATACCCTTCTTAGCTTATCTTTTATTCAAAGTTAGTATGATTCATCGTTATTTATTTGCAAGACTGACAAGAGAATTGTTTTGTTATTAGTATATGTTGATGATATTGTCATTACAGGATCTAACAATTAATTGATGTCTCAGCCACAAAAACGTCTTCAGCATACTTTTCATATGAAAGATTTAGGGTCATTAACTTATTTCTTAAGACTCGAGATTCACTCTTCTGTCGCTGGTATTTTTCTTTATCAGCACAACTGTACGAATGGAGCATTGCTTTGACTGGTCTTTAAGATGGTCGCTCCACTGATACTCATTTGGAAGTAAATGTCAAATATCAACAGAATGATGGTGACTTTCTATCTGAACCATCTCTATATAGACAACTGGTTGACGGTCTCAATTATCTGACTTTTACGCGTCCTGATATTTCATTTGTTGTGCAACAAGTAAATCAATTTATGCAAGCACCTACACATCTTCATTTAGCTGCAGTTCAACGTATTATTCAATATTTGAAAGGTACTTCTCATCATGGTTTGTTCTTTTCTGCAGAGTCTGCTATCACCTTAACAGCCTATAGTGATGTTGATTGGGCTGGTTGTTCTGATACACGTTGATCCATTACTGGATGGTGCATGTTTCTCGACAACTCTTTAATCTCTTGGAAGAGCAAGAAACAAAATCGAGTGTCTAAGTCATTTACCGAATCAAAATATTGCGCTATGTCGTCTGCTTGTTATGAGATCATATGGCTCCGTGGCGTGCTGGCTGAGCTTCGTTTTCCTCAGCTTGAGTCTACTCCTCTTTATGCAGATAATACTAGTGCTATCCAGATTGCTGCTAATCTCGTCTTTCATGAGCGCACAAAACACATTAAGTGAACTGTCATTCCATTCGAGAAGCCTATGAGGAGGGTGTTATATCTCTTCTTCATATCACTTCTGATCTTTCTATCTCTTCTTCATATCACTTCTGATCTTCAAACGGCTGATATATTTACTAAGGCTCTTTCTCGACAGCGTCATCAGTTTTTTGTCAGCAAATTGATGCTTCTTGATCAATCAGCATCAATTTGAGGGGAATATCAATCAAGAATAAATAAAATCAGACAAAATAAAGAGTTTCCTTCTTTGCAATGCTGCAAAGAAGGAAATATTATATTTGCGCGGATTCTTTCCTTTTAGTTGAATATTTAGATTATGAATATGTATTAATTAAGTTACTTAATTTAGATTATACTGAATATTATGTACCTAAAATAGATTGTACAAACTATTATTTATTGGAATGAAAGCAAAGGAAAAGGATTCAACCTAAAAAAAAGAGCCTATTTGCTCAAAATATTGACAATTAGAGTATTATATGGTGTTATTCAATTATTTTGCGGTGTTATTGGAATATTCCCCGTGTTATTGGAATTTTGCGGTGTTATTGGAATATTCCCCTGCGTTACTTGATTTGGGGCTATGTTATTCGACATATTCCCCGTGTTATTTCAATTTCCACTATGTTATTGGAATAACACAACCCCAAATCAAGTAATACGGGGGAATATTCCAATAACATTTCAGCCCCAAATCAAGTAACACGATGAAATATTTCAATAATACCGCAAAATAATCGAATAACACCATATAATACTCAAATAACACATCATTTTTACAAATAACGCAGATGGAATATTCCCGTAACACAACCGAATATTCCAATCCGATCGTAGCTCTACGTCAGGAGTCCTGATGTAATATTTTTCCCGCAAACCAAGCAGAACTTTTCTTTTTTTTTAAAAAAAAAAATCAAAAACTTTCTTCTCCAGCATGCCGCTCAGCATAGACAAGGGAAGCTCCACCAGACTCCGGCCAAAACCCGTTTCACGCCAGAACCATCACAAACAAAGAAAGTCAGATCACGTGCTACAAATAACTCCGACAACACGCCAAATTTGCATGCATCAATGCCGAATTTCGCTCTGATCACGAACCCAAATCTATTGTTATGCGAAAATAATGTGCAATGATAGAAATTCTTACAACATCAATCTACATCCACGGGGGGGATATTTCAATAGCACGGGACGAGAGAAAAAATACGGCTTGAGGTTACAACTCAACACTTCTCACCATACACCTCACTGCTACATCTCATGAAACCTAAGTCTTTCTTTTACAAAGGAGGATTAGGGCATATAACAACTTCTTCGTTATCCAAGTCTCTCTCAAAAACTACTATCTATTACAACACTGAAATCTAGCTTAGAGAGAACAATAAAATTATCAATTCTTAGTCTTAATGATTAAATAGCATTACATGTAAATACACATATCTGTTAGTTCATTTAATTTTGAACATTTATATAGCAATATAATAAACAAAAAAAATTTGACGATACCCAAGCGAAAGAAGTGTCCAAGGACAGATAAGAGAGAACATCAGAGGCTGAAAGAATAAACTGGGAAAAGAAAATAAAAAGGAGAAAAAAAAAAACTCTGAAAAACTGACAGCTGCATGAAAATAAATGCAAATTCAGGGTTTAAAATTAAGACATGATTTCAGAATATATATACTCAACAAATCAGTAAAAAAATAAATTATTTAAAGTCCTTTCGTCATACTCTCCGAAACTTATAAACTAAAAAGAGTCAAACCGAGGTTACCGTTACTGCTGTCGAAATAATTGCTCCTTTCTGCACTTTCGGCAGCTGCATTTGAAGCCATAATCAGCCAGTAGAGCTTGTCTCTCCTCATACGGAAGGTCCTCATCAATGTATGAAATAGTAATCTGAACAAAAAGTGTTATTTTGTTAGATAAAATCCGGGAAATCACATACGTAACCACCCTATTCCTATGTATTTACATATCCAACACCTAAACTTTATTTTTTTTTACATTTATAACACCCAAATCTTTCAAGTCCTATAAAAGTACCACCATTTTAATTTTTAAAAAGTGCAATACACCTTTCCATGCGCAGGTAAGATTGTAAATATATGTAAAAATTGAAGTTTGAGTGTTAGATAAGCAAATATATAAGCATGAGATGTATGTAAATATTCCTAAAAGGTAATCTACAACCATGCTGAAAGTCTGTCATAAATAAGAGATTCGTGTAGTTGATATTTAAATAAAATGATGGAAAATAATACCTCTTCTCCAATTGAGATTGGGCTGACTGCAATTATTACTGCTTGCCCATCCCTGTCCTGCAGTACGAAATAATATCAAACATGGATTAAGAAACATAGAATTCAGGTAGCAACAATTCAGCCCATTCGACATAAAAAGAGGATCTAACTGGAGGCGGATGAAACTAGTACTAGATCAAAACCCTAACAAAGAAGTTGAAAGTCAATTTTACGAGGCAATATTGCAAACAGATGAAAATTCAGGGTTGGATGCACAATCTCCAGAACAGTACTGGTTCTCAAAACGGGCAATTTGTTGAATGAAATTGTCTCCCTAGATGCAACATCAGTAAATTTTAGATCTCTAGGACTGTTTTAGACAATTGTGGCAGATATATATAATTAACTAAATAACATATGCAGTAACAACTAAACGAGTCATAATAAGTTAAAGAGGCCAAAATATTTGTCTTTTATCGAGCAAAAAATACATACATTAAGCATACTTATAAGATTTTTGCAATGCAGCATGAAAAAAAAAATACAATGGTTAATCATATAACATAATACATGATTCTGACATTCAATCAATAACAGAGCTTAGGAACACTTTATTTTCTAAAGGACAAAGTGCCTGCTTTAGGGTGAATCATACGATTTCCTGCATGTATTATGATATTAGTGTAGCTCTTGAAAGCAATGCTTTTAAATATATTTAACAAGCAGGTTCAACAGTGAGTAGCTTGGCAAGTTCGGATTGATTATAACTCTAAATTATCACTAAACTCACTTCAACTGGTCCAATACTGTTTTCCGGTGAACTAGATCAAACTAGTCGAACCAGTTCATTATTTCCTTTTAAATCTAAATGGCTGATTAGGGCACGGCAATTCACTGTTTGACCACCTCGACTTTGCTAAATGAATCGTAACTGATCTTCTTACATACTTATGCTTCTGTAATCCTCATGCTGTCAGATAACAAAGGTTTTGTTTCTACCTTCATCATTCTCAGCCTCTACACCTGTCACGACATGATCCGGAGGCTTAGAATTTTCATGGGCATGGAAAAATTTATCTACATTTCAATTCCTACAACTAAAAATTTATCATTTAAATAGATCGAAAGGGCCATAAACAAAATTAGTTTAAGTTAATTTAAAGGAAAAACCAGTTGTGAAAAAAATTATTTTTCTCTAGCTTGGTTATGTCATTTATATATATAGATATATATATTTTTCATCTATCACTCATTTTATGATCCAAAATTTAACCTGAAAAATGTTATTTTGTAATAGTTAATTATCAATATCTTAAAGAATACTGATATATGTAAACTACAGTAATAGCAGTTTATTATTCAATTATAATCATTGAAGAAGAGTCATAAAATTCAAAGCCATTTCAGGAGCACCGTTTAAATTATACTAATAAATATACATTGATATCAATGTTCTTTTTCAATTTATATATACAAATATCTTAGTATCCTCAAGTAGTACCATAAATGAGTAAATTTTATCAGTCAATGTATACATACAAGCATTCTAGAATTCATCACATTTTTATTTTCATATCATATAATATTTTCATATATAAATCTATATATCTAATAAGTGAAAACATGACATTTATTTTATGAAGAAACAAATGAAGTACAAGTTTTATGTTTACGTGTGTGTATTAAAATGTAAATCTATATGTAAAATGAATAATGATAAAATATGTACTAAAATTTGATTTAAATATCCATGCCATTTTACACATTCAGTTCAGAAGAAATAATATTACTGTAATTAATAAAGTACCCACATCGTATCAGACGACTTGCTTTGTCTTTGAACTTGTAAAAATTAACTTGTAATTTAACATACACGTAAACATAAGATTTGTACTTCATCTTTTTCTTGATAAAATTTTCTCTTTATTCTATTTTGCTCTCATAACTAAGTAAATTTAATTTTAAATAAAGATATAAAACATACTTAGTAAATTAAATAATTAATATATTATTTTAATTACATTAAATATCATTCTTTTTCTATATATGTTTAAATTAATATCCATGGTAATAAGTATTTACCTTATTATGTAGCCTTCAAATATTTTATCCCTTAATTCACTGTTTCTAAGAAAATATTTAATTTAAAATTTTAATATTTACATTCTTGAATTTTCAAAAATTTTCTTCAATTGAATTTCTCCTCTAAATAAATCATTTAAAATTAATACCTACAATCAAAAGTGTAAAATATTGTTGCCAATTTATTTTATCTCAATTATAATTTAATCTACTCATTACTATTTTCCTTTTTTAATATATTTATTTTTTATTTTTCATAATTGTCTGTATTATTTAATTCGATAATCTATAGTTATTTATAATTGAAACTTCTAATTAACTTTGATTGTGGAGAAATTTTTAATTTGATTATTTTAATAATTATCACTTGCATTTGATTTTCTTTGTTTAATCTTTGATTAACCTTTGTTTATTTAAACACACACACAACAGACACACACACACACACATAAATACACATTATGAATTTATTTTAAATCATCTAAACTATTTCTTTAAATAGTATCATTATTAATTTATAAATTTTTATAATATAATAATAAAATTTTATGAAGGTAAATATTTTATCTCACTATTATATATGTATATAAATCACATTAGTTAATCTATATTTTATGTCATAGCCAAGATTATTATTATTATTCTAACATTCTTAATTTATATTTTTTCACCATTTAATCACCAACGAATTTAAAATTTATCTTATTATCATATTTAGAGAATATAAATTAAAATTTTAATTAACTAACTTATATATGATATGGAGAATAAATTTAAATGGAGAATAAATTTAATAATTTTATTATTATTATTATTATTATTATTATTGACTAGTATAAATCATTATTAGCCTTTAAATTCTCCAAGTTAACATTTAAAAATTTTATACTATTTAACATAACCTTTAAAAATATACTATTTTTTATTTTCTTCTTATTACTTTCATTAAAATAGTCATTTAAACATAAATGCATCTATTTAGTATTTATTTACCTTAAAACTTATGTTTAAGTAGAACAATATGCTCTTACTCGACATAGAGAAGGTTTAACTCGCGTGACTCCCATCTTTGTCATCCGTACCTATTCAAACATGTTGGTCCACTTGAGCTTGTGTCAGCTCTCCTGCTAGCGAGCAACACAAATAATGATATTTTTGTCTCCTACTCTTAATTCTGAGCATGTTTCTGATCCACATGCATGACCAAGCCCCCCTATTACCAGTACTTGATCCTGTCACCTACAACTCGCATGAGTTCGCTTCACTCTAGTCTCATGTGTCGGTCTAGTCGCTACTCACACTCACTTTGATTTCTTGCTCTGCCGTTCGTTCTTGAGTTACTTGCACAACGACATCGCAAAAGCCGAACATCTCATTATTTTGCTCCACTTGTGCTCATCTTCCCTCTCGTCAATTGCTCTCTCACGCTCTCCTACCCATTCTTTTGAGCTCAAGAGATGTCTCCTTTCCAATCTCCCTATCTCTCTCTCTAATAACTTCTTCTCCCGCTCTCTCCCTTTGTCTATGTTTAACTCGTATGGATTAAGGCGAGTCCCTCGTTCGTCACTTTAATTTCTCCCTCTCCGTTCACTCCTTTGCCTCCCACATTTCATATTCACCATTGTCACTTCTAGTGAACATGCATGTAAAAGAATATTACAATACCCCGATCAATCTTCTCCCTACCACCTTATGATCTTATGATCGTGCATTCACCACCATCGTTCTCTTTCAAACTTTGCTTCAACCACTTGCACTTTAAGAGACAAATTATAACACTTAACTGAGATTGCAATAAATTTTACTCTTTAACTTGCTTAATATTATTTATTTAAGTAGTTAAATTATACTTGGTATTTTGTTGTAAGAGGATTATGCATGTGTTTGTTATTTTTTTTTTTTTTGTAAATTCAATTGATAATTTAATAGACTCGTCCATAAATTTGATTCCCATAATTAGAGTCTTCCACTTTTTGTGAAGCAAATGTTTTTAAATAAATTTTCACCAATTTCTAGTTTTTTTTACATAAAAGATATATTTATTAAGTCATCATTTATCAATGACATCAACCAATCTAAAAGTTGGATCATGAAATAATAGTCTTAACCAATTTAATGGCAAGTCCAAGTTCTAAAACAACACTTCAAATTGTATTTCAAAACTGTCATATTCATGTTCGAAAAGGTGTGCACTTCAAAAATATATTTATGCTCTAAAAGATATGAGAAACAAATATTTTGTTGCCCATAGGGTAATCTTATAGACCAATTATAAAGCAAAATCACAATGCTAAAGTTTCATAAAGAAACAAAGCATAATACCATCGCCATTAACCATCCTAAAAATTTGGGAATGACTTTATGATTCCCCATTGTTCGTCTTTCCTGTTGAGTTGCCTAAGATGTTAAACATGTTCTTTGCAAATCATTTTGAATATGTTCTATTCCTATTACCATAGAGCTACACCCTTTTCCTTATAAATTCTTCAACGCTAATTTTATATATCAATTTAATAGTGTTTTCTAGCTTCTTTATGCATCTCCAAATCAATCGCGTTCTTTTTTAGCTACCTTGTCCTTAATAGATATCACTTCAACTATTCATCTAATATAATCAATCTTTAATTTATCTTTTCTAATTTTTCTACATCTCCATCTTAGCATTGCATGCTATACAAAACTTAAAGGTCAATGATTTCTAACTATCCATCACTCAGATTCATGCAATATAAAGGCAAAATCAAGGCATATAAATTAGATCATTGAATTCAGGTAACTGTTTTGATACCGCATAAAGTTCCTGCATGAGACACATGGAACAAGAAAAGATGAAAATCAAATAGCCTTGAAGGCAATTACTTACCTCGTCCCTTTTGAATGCTTTAGCATTTGGACAGCAAGAATGATTCATGCAACTCTGTATGGGGAAGAATGCAGTGCCTGCTAGAAATGTAAGTGGAAACAATTAGAATAGCGTTTAAATAGGTTATCCATATTTGATAAGAACTAAAAGGTAAATTTAAAAAAGGGGAAAATTTTTTTTTTCTTTAATACTTTTAATCTCAGCATTAGAATAAGTTTAATTTAGCGTTTAGAGCAAAAGCATTACACATCGCAAAAATCAATTGTGTGAAATCCAATCTAGATATTTGGGGACATAAAGTACCTCTCTAAAGCATCATAGAACCAGTAATGATGCTTCCGCATATAATAAGAGGCAAATGTACTTATGTAGCCACCATATTAATATTTTAAAAGGTAGGGGCGTTGGGCGGGGTATTTTAGCTGTTATGGGACAAAGCGTAAGCCACCAATATAAAACAAATAAAAAGCATATAACTATTTAGAGATGAAAATAAAAAATTATACTAGTTCGATTTCAAAACAAGTCTTCTAAAACTAAAATCTTCAAGATTTTGATATAAATCAATAATATAAAAAACAAACATATAAAAATAAATAACAATGTTTGAGTCAAGAAAATAAACTAGTTGTGCTCAATTGATCTCAATCATTGAATATTTTTCATTCTTCAAGATCATCCACAATAACTTTTGCTTCTTCACCAATAGATATATCAAAATCACAACTAGGTCCTTCATGTTATCTACATTCATTGTCCACTTTATTAAAGTCATTCGTAAATATATATAATCTTTTTTTTTTATAAGAATATATAATTATGTAAAGGACAATTAAAAGTAATTTTTTCATTCAACTTCTTTTCTATAAAAATATGTTATAAAAATATCATTTTTCCTTGTATATGATTTTGTGATTATTCATTTGCATTAATTATGGACACATTACCGATTATATCAACATCAAATACATGTTCTTCATTCACCCAAGAAGGTTCTTGTGGAAGCACTAGATATTCTTTCTCAACAATTCACTCATCTTTAGAGTATATGTCCTTTACTAATATTGGATCAAAGCTTTATTTTCTTTTTATATTTTTCCCCTTCAATCTAGTATTATATCTTAGATACACTAGAGTGTTCAACCCCTAGTGCTCCAATATGTTCCTCTTCTTAGTATGAATCTAAGATAAAAAAAATATCATTTTTAAAAAGTGATATGAAAACAAATAATAACACTTTAACAAAGTAAAAAGTTATTACCGATTCAAAATTGCTCCAATTTCTTTCTCAACTCAAAGAATTGCAGACGATGCAAAGAACTCAAATAACAAAATTTGTTAACTAGGTGTTTTTCCATTAAATCTCATACATAATCAGTAGAAAATCTTAACTTCTTTAAGTTCGTGATAACTCTACTCCCAAAATCTCTTCTGAAGTTATCATACAAGTCTAGTTGAATATCCGCTCTGAGACGATCTTCATAATCTAACATTCTTTCCAGACAAGTGATTCACCCTTGCTTCACCTCTTCATCATTACAAATATTATCTTCAAAATAAAATTGGGAGTTTAATAAATAATCAACCGCATGTAATATTTAATGAAGTCGGTCTTTTCATTAGGGGTGAGCATTCAGTCAATTAGAATGGATCGACTTTAAAATTGTTCAAACCAATTATAATCAAAATCCATAATCCAAAAACTGAACCAATCTAAATTTAGATAAAAACAGAACCGACCAACCAAAATTTAATTCGATTTAAACAGTTTGGTTATGAAAAAAATGAAATTTAATTGTTTACTTAAAATTTAGCTAATAACAAGCATTACAAATCACATATTTTATTCACATAAAATCGATTTGATTTCATGAATCCTCTATTTAGTTCAATCAAATATTACATATAATAAATTTTTTGATTTGTTTTTGTTTATTCCACTTGAAATTAAAATATAATAAATTTTTTTAATAGAATTTTGGTTTTTTGGTTTGTTCAATTAAATGAAAATTAAAACCAAACCGAAAACCTAATATTAAAGTTTTAAAAACAGAAAAAATTAATCAAATTTTGAAACCGAACCAAACCAAGCAAACTTGATAGATTCAATTCGGTTTTTCGGTTTTGACCAAATAATATACACCCCTACTTCTCATCTTGCAACAATTTTCCTCCAAATAGGTACATAGTTCTTTTTATTAAGCCCACAATTAAAAGTCGTTATTTTTTTGCAAAATCCATTAACTCATAAATATAGCCTATGATTGACCTTTCTTTTGAGTCAACCTCTCTTAGAATATTTATAAGAGATACAATCACCACGATGACCACAAAAATATGGATTGAACAAAATAACAAGTCCAGTTTCAATATCTCCTGTCTGCTCAGTCTATTGACTAGAACACCTAACTTCTAAGGAAAACGTTGCTTGAAGTGGTTTTTTCTATTTGTAAAGGCTTTGAAGAGCCAAATATACAATAACAAACCGTGTGATGACAAAACGAACCAGTTCCCTCTCCTTTGTAAGAGATCTCACCAAACCAAGAACCATGTGTGCACATATAAATGAAATTAACAACTTCTTTGCTTTTGCAATTATGCTTTCGTGAATTTTCAACTTTCCAACATCTTATAAAATGAGATGAATACAATACACTGTACAAGGTGTCCAATAGATAAGTTGTCTTCATTTCATTACATTTTTACCCGCATTCATATAATTTGACCCATTATCTGTTATAATTTGCACCATATTTTCTCCTCTACCTCCTCAATAACGTCATCTAAATAAATAATAACTTATCACTCTTTATAGCATCAGAAACATCCACATCAAGCTTGACTATTAACAAAAAAAAAATAATTAAAGTACATTTATTTTCCATCTGTCAAACTATCTGATATAATCGATCACATATATTTAATGCATTCTTATACTCTTCTAACATCTTATTAATTTCAGCAATTTCATCCCTGGGTATCCAAGTTTTTAATTCATGCATTGTAGGTAGGGTAAAATCAGGTCTAAAGTTAGCATCTGCTTCAAATATAAACATATAGTACAAGTCATTGGTAACATTAAAAGTGAATCTGATTGAGTAGTAGAATCTACCAGTTGCCTTACATGCTTAATTTATTTTATCTTTCTTCTACATGAAATTTAGAGTAGAATTCCTAGTTTCTGTTGTGCAAAAGAATCTATTGGACCTCTAACTCTATATGCAATTTGAAAAGAGTCAAAAAATGATGATTTAATGGCATTTTGACCTTCACATACACTTACTGTAGTACTTCTAATGTCATTTAATACATTGTGACATTATGCTTTGACTTTTGCATCTTCTTTTAATGTTTGCTTGCATTTCTCTTGAACCTCAATGAAGAGTTTAATGCATTTTTTATACTCTTATGTGTGCTAGCAAGATGTTGCTTTATCCTGTTTATTGTTCCACTACACATCTGATTGAAAAAATTACATTTAAAATATTTTTCATTAGTTGTGTTTATTGTATATTGTCATGGAAATTCTTTTTTAGTACGACTACTACCGAGCACACAATCCATCCATTCCATACAAAGTAATTACTAACACAGCACATCAAAATTTTAAAAAAATATATAGTCAAAACTAATGCCAAAAATATACAATCAAAATGACCCCAGATGCGGATTTCATTGTAACTATTGCGAAATATGCCCATTAATTACTAAATAAAACTCATTTTCAAACTTTTCTATTTATGCAAAGTTGTGGGCCTCGAGAGAGGACTGGATTGTGCGATGATGACAAGTATGGAACCGCGGGCTGAGTGCGGGTCTCTTGCTTGCTACTGGGAAGATGAATGGAAGGTAGGAAGGCGGTTGGAAAGCGCGACGCTTTCTACAGCTGTATCTTTTGCCTGCAGAAGACTACTGGAGAGACGAAGCTACGATTTAGGTAGGTCTGAGAAGCGTGATTAGGGTTTTTATTTATTTTTTTTAATTGGCCCGCAAGTGAGGTGTACAGCCCCCGTGGGGCGCAAAATAAGTTCTTGGACGTAAAAGGCATGTCAGGGCGTACGCTGAGGTGTACAACCCCTGTGGGGCGCAAAATAAGTTCCTGGACCTTAAAGGCATGTCGAGGGATAAACCCCATGAGAATTACGCCTCCTTCATTGGGATGGGGCGTAATGCCTCGCGCCTCACCTAGGGGTGCGCACCATTAACGCCTTTTAAAACACTGCACCATATAGATTCATAATTGGAAAATTTTCATCTGCTTAACATTTAGATGAATAAAAAATTGTAGAAGAATCATACCAACATTCAATACATTTAAAAATAGGCAATAAAACAATAAAGTTTTTATCGGAAATCCAAGCAACAAAGTTTACAAGCTTATTGAAAAATAAATAAAATTCTAGACACGAGAAGAATATTTATGTAAACCATAATGCCATAATTCTGGGATTTTGGCTTTTTCTCCTAAGGAACCGTCGCTCTTCTATGAAAAATGCTATGCTGACATACTGGAAAAGGTAGCTATTAGATAATCAGGAACTTGCGACATGAGGAAAAAAAAAAAAAAAAAGTCATCAGCTCCTTAGTCCGTATGTCCAATAAACTAGCTATTAAAGAATTTGCAAAGCTTCATGCTTAATAGAATTTTAAAATCAATTGCATATACTAAAAACATTCAGTTTGATGATGAGACCTTGACAAAAATCTGAATAATCATCACCAAGAGCATCCAGAAACGGAAGAGTTAACTCAGCTTTTTCCTGCACCAAAAAAGATTTCTATGAAGATCTATGCAAACAACTTTTGACAAGGGCAAATAAATACGTACCTTTTGTGGCGATGGAAGATCATCAATATATATGAAGTAGTCCTCCACTGGAGAAGCTACTACAAGATCACTGCACTAATTTGATTAAAATGTTAACCGATAGTAACAAAACTTAGCAAGTGATTCATCTTCACTGATCAAATTTAAAAAACCAATTCATATTTAGCATAATTAAAATACGCTACTTACAGATTATTGAGTTCAAACATGCCAATAATATGGCCATATATTTCAAGTGAAAACACTGCAGAAGTTAAGAGGAATGGCAGAGAAATTTTGAAAAGCATAAGAAATTAGAAAACCTGCCAATTATCAAGTCTGAGATGACAATATTAAAGGATACAAGGTGCACACTCAATGTCGAAGATGGCTTCCTTGAGAAGTTGTAGAGACTGAAAAAGAAGAAAAATTAACAGAAAGAGTTCCACATCTACCAAAAATCAAGCATGCAGAAGAACAATAAGATTTCAATGTTATGATATTCTAATGAAATATTAGAACCATTCGCCCCCTTCAACATCATTAAACTAGTCCCACACATGATTTCAAGACTTTTTAAGATTGTTTGGCCATCAATTAGATGAATCAAAATTTTCTCAATGAAAGAGTACAATTGTATCAGAACGTAATTGCAATTTTAAAATACAAAGGCTTTCAAATAAACTTTTAAGACTGCTTATGCATGCTATCCAATAGGACTCCTTTTTCATATGCTTAATGAATGATTAAATTATTATGAAGATTGATCTCGACTTTGAAAATTATACAAACTTATAGAAGAAAAATAATAAAATTAGTAAGTAAACAACCAGATTCTCCTCCTACGATGAGAAAAGTCCATCTCATAGTGTGCGTATTTGCATATGCGCATGCACGTGCAAGTGTGTGCATAAATCAACCTTACACCAAGGACTTCTACTATGCCATTTAATCAAAACAATTTGCTTACATAACCATCTATTTGGGCTCCATATAGATCTCACTAAGATGATCTATCTCATGAGGACCTATAAACATACAATACCCTAGAGAAATGCTATGTAGCACCTACATTTTTAAAAATTTGTCGTAACCATGTCAGACATATATCAGACACTGAAACTAGTTTGACATGCCTCAACACTTGTTCGACACCTCACAATAAGTCAGAATTTTTTTTTTGGGCCTGAACAAGTTCGAGACTCTCCTCGACGACACATAAGACAGGAACTCAATATGATTTGAGAGAAAACAGGAAACAAAAAATAGAAAATTATATTTATACATACATACACACACACACACACATATATATATATATATATATATATATCCGGTCGCCGAGCTCTGGTAGGGTTTCGCCTCGTGGCAAACCCTAGCCTCTGTTGTTGTAATTCCACGCTCGTAGAAGGAGGTACACTCCTCTATTTTCGTCGCTGCTTCGTCAAGCTGCGCCTATGCTCGTTGCTCGTTGTAGGGCCGATCGGGCTCTGCGGCTCTGTTTCCTGCTTCTGCGGCATCGTCTTGTCGTTGTTCTTCTGCGCGGCTTTTGTTGAACTTAGGTTTCGACTCTGTCGAGCTCATCTGTTGTTCCTGTCTGCGGTTTACTGTCTTCTGCGCAGCGCCCCGACCTCTTCGGCTCTCTACCCGACTTGCAGGGATTCTCTTTGCTATGATGGAGCTTCCTTCTTCTTCGATTGAACCTGACAAAACATCATTTGCCCACGGTGTGGGTAATTCTCAGAAGGAGACGGCGGTTGTTTTCCCCTCAAGTTATAAGGAGAATCGTGATGGTACAGATGACTGCCCCTTTATTAAGAATGTAAGCATGAAAAGTGGGAAGACAACATTCTTTTTCTCTGAGCAGAAATTTCAACCCTGACTGACAAATTCAAGTTTGCTCTCATTGAGAAATTTCAGTGGGAACACCCACCTATGGAGGTTATCCGGAAAAGTTTTGATGACCTCAAATTAGCAGGAAAATAGAAAGTGGAAAGTGAGGCTCATGGATGGGAGACATGTTTTGATTCAGTTAACCGTGCCTGAAAACTACACTCAGATTTTCTCCAAAAAAATATCTTAACATTGTTGGTAAACCTATGAAGCTACTCAAGTGGTCTCCGAATTTTGACTCAAATCATACCCAAGTCATGAGCCTCCCACTATACCGGTATGGTTTAATTTACCTGGTATCAAGCTGCATTTTTTTTGCCATCAGGTTCTCTACTCTATTGGGGCCATCCTTGGGGATCTTTTGAAGCTAAATTTGTCTACTTTCAACCTAACTAGACCCTCGGTGGCAAGAATACTTGTGGAAAGAGATATTACTTTGTCTGATGTTACTGAAGTCTGGCTGGGCACAACCCATAATGGTTATTGGCAACAAATTGTCATGGAGCACATACCCCATATTGTACCCACTGTAAGATGTTTGGTCATGTCCTTGATAAATGTCACAAGTTTCATCCAAATTTGAAATCTAAAGTTCAAATGAATAAAAATGGGTCTAACCCCACTGCTCTGGACATTTTAGTTTCACCTGGGGAGAATACTACAAGACAGGAGGTGTATGTTGCCTCTGAGAAACCCCCCATGACACTGTTGTTACTGTTACTGCGAGTGATGTGATACTGACACCTTCAAACCCCATAGAAAACAATACTGATGGGCTATTACTTACAAATGATAGTGTTCAGACTGATAATCAGGAGAGTCTCGTAGCTCCACTTCTTCAGAAAGTTTTCGGTGTAAAGGCAACTCATACTTCAGATATACTAGAACCTATTGTGGGTACTACGGTTGGTAATCCTTCTGCTTCAGCTCTACCACCCCATCAGACTGATTCTTACTGATTCTTCGGAGATTCTTCGGAAGAGGAATGACAGGTTTATTCCAAGAGGAAGAAGAGGAATGGAGGCCGACTCCAGCTTAGGAACATTTTGGATGATACATTGGTTACTACTGACAATGACAATCATCTTACCAGCTTATTAGTTTGCTCTTACCCTAGAACTAGAGGCAGAGGCAAGGCCAAATTGGGTCACTCTCTAGCCACCTGATATTATGTATTTCGACACTGTTAGATTTTTTATTTATCTAATATATTTTTCTGTTTTTTCTAGTAGTTTGGAACCATTTATAGCTTTTGTTTGGGCAGGGTGCCCTGTTTGGGCCCTCCCACACATTGTATTTGTATCTTTCTTTTTATTTAATATAATAGCCTTTTTGGGCTTTCAAAAAAATATATGTGTACCTTATAGTCGAAACTGCTTCTTCTCTCTTCATGTCAAGGCTCCTTCACATCGTCAAAATTGAGCATAAAAATGCATCCAACATTTGACAAAGTCGAGCAACTAAAGTTCCCATTTTGTTTGACGAAGCTGAATGTTAAAGACCCATCCTGCATTCGTCGAAGCCGAGCGTTCTAGTTTTCTTTCGTTCATCGAAGTCGAACCTCCACCCGATAATGCTGGAGCTATAAGAATCTTTGTCAAAACCTGAGCAGGAGTCAAACCTATTTGTTGAAGTCAATCCAAATACCATGGGAAATTTTTGACGCTTGCACTAAAGCTTCTTTTCTTCGAAACCAAGTGGTGTCAAAGCTCCATAGTTTGGTAAGTGATAATTTATAATTTTTTTACACTTTAATGAGTTAATAGTTATAAATCTATACTTATTCTAATATTAAAAGTTTAATTTTAACTTAATTAATTAACTAAAGTCTAATTGTAAGATATTTTAAGTCTTAGTAGATAAGTTGGAAGAATTCTTTTGAAATTTATTATGACAATTTTGAAAATGATTTTTTATAGAGGTTTCATAAAACAAGTTAAATTTTAGTTTTGCATATTTTGTTTTTTGATGCCTTCAATAAAGAATAATGAAAAAATATATCTTTTTTTATATTAATAATTAATTAAATATTAAAATGTGTCTAATGTGTTGTGTCCTATTTTTTTCATTTATGCCATGTTTACATATCATGTCATAGCCGCGATCGTTTCCTCGTGTCAGTGTCTGTACACCATATACTGCACAAGGTGCAATAAATAATGGTGTGACTCGAAGAAGTATGCGTCAAAGCTCATAATAAGGAAGCAAAAATCTTTATAGCTCATGACAATATCAAATGGAATTAGAGGGTATAAATCAACATCCATGCATCCCAAAACATAATCCTACTAGTGTCTGCTTATCGTATGTATGTATGTATGTATCCATGTATGTATATGAGGGACCAAAAATCTTTTAGTTCATGAAAATATCAAATGGAATTAGAGGGATGTATATCAACATCCATGGATCTTAGAACATCATCCTACAAGTACAAAATCCTACATGTTATATATATTTTCAACAACAACAACAAGCCTTTATCCCACTAAGTGGGGCAAGTAAAGGCATCCTAGGACTAGCATCTGAAGAAGATAAGCTAGTGACAAGTAAGCTTTCAATGATTTGGTCATTTATAATAATGATCAGAACATAAAACAATAAACTAGAAGGTGAAATTAATGCCGAAGTATGGTGATGGACGTTTTTCTCCTATAGAATAATAACCACTTTCCAACCAAATAGGTTTTGCTATTATAGATTGCAAATACAATATCAATTCATTCTACTTAATTCTCATTAATAGTCAACAAAGTTAATGGAGGTGTACTTAAATTCCCATGAACCCGGTATGACATCTCAGATGTCCTCATCAAGCTTATATAGATCAGCATACTCCCCCATGTCGAGAAGGCTGCAGCCACATTATTGCCGATAAATTCATTAGTGATTGAGAGATCATACTATCTTGTTTTGCAACATCTTCCTGTACCTGCTGACCAAGTTTTATTACCACTAACACATCAGTCTTTTCATATGCCACACTCATTTAAGCCTTACCTATCTTCAGAGGTATTGAAGTGATATGTGGTCCCGATGAAACACAGTTTATTTCCCAAGCAGCAAAAGTCGCCAGTGCTTCACTATTTGGTGAAGTGCGAAAAAGTTTCTAGTCATGTGTTAGAGTATTCGTTTGAGTGCCTTGTTCCTTTCTTGTATTAAAACCACATCAAGCTTAATCGGATGGAAATTAGCAAATGATATTCACAAAAAATTATTGGAGTTTTGACAATACAAATACTGGTAATTATCGATTCTGATCCATCAACAATCAACCAGATGCCCATTTCCCTTATGATTTTTTGATGAATCTCCAACAAGGTAATTACTAGAAGAAATGATTCTATAAAAATGAGCCAGAAATAAAATTTTCCAGCAAAAAATTGCCTATCTCAAGCAATTTTGTTGTATCTTCTCATGAAGTAAAGGCCGGAAGCATCCGCCTCAACTTTAAATGGTTTAAGCTAATTTGACAAAATTAGAATAGGTGTCTTGCTTAAATGTGTTGTCATGTATTTTC